CTTCGGCTTTAACCTTAACAACATTCTCGCTCTTCGTAATCGTTGTCGCCATCAACAAACGGATTTTTTCAGTAGAACGAGAGAGACGGTAAATGGATTTAGGGTTTCGAAAACAGTGGGGGATTGCCGTGGATTCAAATTGGGATCCCAGCTCCACTTCGCGGGTTTCACAAACAGGTTGTGCTGTACACTGAAAATAACTTGGCACGTCACTCGGGGTGTTTGGCATAGCAAATGGAAAAGTCACAAAAAAAAAAAAAAAAAAAAAAAATCAGGTTTACTTTTCCAAAAAGTTCATTTTTACTTGTATCAAAATCCAAAAGTAACTTCTAAAATGCATTTGCCAAACATCTTTTGTTTTCTATCTTTTCCTAAAGGGTGTTGCTAATAAAACACCCTCTCAATCAGTGTCCGAAAAAGTTAACGAGACGGATACACTTTTTGCAATTAATATAAAGGGAAATCAAAAAGAGTTTTTTTTCTTACAAAATTTCATAATCGGTCCCTTTAGTTTGAAAAACATTATAATTTGATGATTTTTATAAAAACGTCATGACATTGGTTTTTATGGTTTCGAAAATTGTATAAAGAGTCCTTCTAGTGTTAGCTTTAATTTTAGAGTAGTTAGTTTTTATTCTAAATGTACGAAAATGACCTTGGACCAAATCTAAAAATTATATATATCCTAAGGATCAATTCTAAATATTTGAAATCTTATACATATTAATTATAAATGTAAATTTGAAATATATATATATATATATATATATATATATATATGTAGAGAGAGAGAGTTAAGATCATATATAACCAATAAATATTATGTGAATGTGTGACTAATTGTGGTCAGATCAATATAAAAAGTAATTTCATCATTTTGTATATCACATTTATTTTCTACTAATTACATAAGTTATATATCTGGAATGAATGAGTTTTGTATTTGAATATATGGAACCGTTTCATATTAAAATTCAATCAGTTATATAAGAGTAGTTGGAAAAGTAAGTTTTCAAAATTCATGGTCTTGTCATTGCTTATTTAAAAAAGAAGGTGAAATTTGACTTTTTGTTTCTTTTGTTACTATTAATTGTAAATGTTTGAAGATTGTTTTTTATTGACAAAACTTCAAAAATGGTCCCTGTGATTTCACAAAATCTGAAGTTTGGTCCCTAATTTACAAAAACCTCACTGATCGTCCCTATGGTTTCAAAACTTTTAACATTTAGTCCTTCCGACTCACTCCGTTAGCATTTCACCGTTATCTCATTTTTCAATATTATATTGCAAGGGCAATTTCATCATTTCAATTGTAACCTTCTCTCTTTAATATGAAATGATTACCTATTGTTTGCACGTTAACTCCACTACCTGTCCCTTTCCCAATAACATAACCAGTTACATTTGTAATCATCGGGTTCATTCTCATCGTAGAAGCAAGAACAGAAATTGGGATTTAGGATTTAAGCTGAAGGAATTGCATTGGTGTTATCAATATGGTGTTTTCGAGAAAAATTTGCAACCGTGCAGGACTTGGGAAAATGATATGGTACGATACTACAACAAAACTTGTTTTTTCTGGGTCGATTGTGTTTGTGTAGAGAAATCATCGACTTTACCCTTTCTTTTTTTGTGTTTGCAGAAGGATATGACAACTATTTCATGTTGAAGATACATTATAGTGGTGTCTTCAACAAAGCACCTGAAAGGATATACGTTAATGGTGTTGTAGCATATGTAGATGATGTTGACACTGATTTATTTTCAGTTCATGAGCTTGATGACATGGTCCGAGAACTAGGGTACAAAACTAAGCAAACCCTTTACTACCATTTTTGTATCCCTTAATACACTTTAGACTATGGCTTAATGCCTTTAGGAAATGACCAAGATGTACTTAAAATGGTATCATATGTCCCTAAACATAGACTTATAAGGGTGTATAATGAAAATGGTCACACAAGGGTAGCTAGTTATTACAAGTCTCCTTTTAAATTTGTTATTGAAGAGTTGGAGCCTAATAGTGTGTCACCTGAAATGAATAGAAATAAACCTTGTAGGAGAGAAGCAGGATCATGTAGTAGAAAACTTGATCTAAACAAGTATATGAACCTTAATTACGAGCAGTGATAAGTATTAGATGTTGATGAAGGGCATGATTACTCAAAGAGTATTCTGCTATTTATAAGGTCACAAGCTAGCAAACACAGTCATGTCATTCAAGAGGAAGTGGTCAATCATGAAATTGAAACTCAAGAAGAAGTGATCACTAGTGCAGTTAAAACTGAAGAACCAGCGGGAACTTACCATATAGAGGAACCAAGTTGCCAAGCTGATGATGGAGCTAATATTGTAACAATTGGTGACTTTGAACCATTTGTAGAGGATTATTCACTTTATGTTGATTATGATGTTGAGTTTAATGTTCAAACTTCATGTGAACAACAACCAGAAGTGGGTTATCTAGAGGGTATGGTGAGTGATGATAGTGGAGAGGCTTTCTATTCTGAGAGTGGACATGGTTCTGAGGGTAGTGGAGATGATTTTGATGATAGTGAATACAATGTGGATGAGTCTAACATACAAATTGATGTAGATGTAGACATGAGTGAATTCCATAATGTTGTTGATGTAGATGAACATGGAATCTTAAACAACCATTCAACATTTGAAGGGAATGACATGGTTAATGATGAGTTGGAAGTTACCGCGATTGATGATTATCAATTTGTGGGATTTCATGAAGATGATAGGAAGAGACTGCTAAAAGAGTTGAGTAAGTCAAGCAGATGCTCACATGGAGAGGTTCATGTAAAACCATTTCAGATTGGCTAGGTCTTCAAAACCAAGTGTGATGTTAAAAACTACATGAACTCACATGCTGTAGAAATAAGGAGGTCTTTATACCTAGCAAAAAATGACAAAATTAGGATTATGGTGAAATGTAAAGGTGTTGTAAGTAAGCAATCTAAAACAGTTGATGGTAGTGGGCCCTCAACCAGAAGTAGGGCAAAGTGCAAGGGTAAAGATGTAATTGCCAATAAAGGTACATGTCCATAGGCAGTCCAAGCATCGAGGGCTAATGAAAATCAGGATTGGGTGGTGAAAACAGTACAAGATGAGCATATATGTTTGCAAACAATGGCGGTTAAAGCTTGCACTTCCAGATACGTAGAAAACTTAATTGTTCAAGAAATCTAGAGTAACCCTAGAATTCCAGTGAAAGCTTTGCACAAAGAGTTGTGCAAGAAACTAGAGCTCTGAATGTCATTGCAAAAGGTTGTTAGGGCAAAGACAATGGTTGAATGTATCATTAGTGGGGACTACCAAGTACAACATGGATTTTTGAGGGATTATGTGTTAGAGCTACTAAACACTAATCCTGGTACAATAGTTCGGATTGATGTGTATCCAGAAACCTCCCTGTCTATTACCACAAGAACTTTTAGAAGAATATATGTCTGTCTAGGTGCATTGAAGTTGGGATTCAAAGCTGGGTAAAGAGATTTTATAGGTGTGGATGGTACTTTAATGAAGGGCCCTTACTTTGGGCAAGTGTTAACTACTGTAGCGTTGGACTCAAATAATGGCATATACCCTGTAGCATATGCAGTGGTAGAGACAGAATCAACAAGTAGTTGGACTTGGTTCTTGGAGCTGTTAGGAGAAGATATGGATCTGGGAGCAAATTCAAACTTTACATTCATTTCTGATAAACAAAATGTAACGACCCAAATACCAAGGGTAAAAATTTCATCTTTAATATTAATAAAACATTGATACCATTTAATTCAACATTCCAAATCATCATTAAGTAAATCATTTATCGGAGTTTATCCCAAAATCAATCATTGCGGAAATCATAGGTGTGTGCATTGCGATCAATCTGAGCTCTTCTTTTCCAAAACGTTGATACCTGAAACCAAAACTGTAAAACGTAAGCACAAAGCTTAGTGAGTCCCCCAAATCATACCCCACACACAATCCACATAACAGATATCATATTAGCTATAAAAGCTATCTCTACCGCATACCATATATCAATTAGCTATAAAAGCTACCTCTACCACATAATACAGATCAATTAGTTATACAACACTAAGGCCTAAACCAAAAGCCTAAACCAAAAGCAAAAGTCAAACACTAGGTAGGCTTTCCAAGCCCACTAGTGGCCTACTAATGGCCCAATTTGCTCAATTGGGCCCAATTCCTCTAATGGGCCTTACCCTAAGCCCAAACATATTCCTGGCCAATAACATATGACTTTTGATGGCCCACTAAGGCCCAGAGACCCAAAGTCCCCTGCATGCGCCGAACTGAGGCCCAAAACAAGTCAAGCCCATATCTGATGAGTACGATGGGCGTACTCTTATGTACGTTAAGCGTACTAGCGAAATGATGCGTACGATATGCGTACCTACATGTACGCTCAACGTACTCCCCTCTTAAGCCACTTTTCCTTTAAGTGCTTAATACTCTACTCTAGAAGCAACAAATACAAATCCAAGTCCTTTCCAACGTCTTAAACCAAAAAGTTGCTTACTTGATGATTTTGCATGACCCTCATAAGCTCAAACTCCAAAAATGATAATCTACTTCCATGAAAATGGTCTTAACTCATGCATGAATCCATTAAGACTTCCAAGATGGCAACTTTCTGCCTTAGGGACTCGTTTAACACTGAGATTGGCAACTCAAAGACTAAGAATCAGATTTCAACCACAGAACTCCATCCTTGGGACCAAAAAGGTCCAAAAACCTAGCATAATAGATCTAAGCATTTAAGGGGCAAGTTTAAGACTTTATACCTCAAGATGATCTGAAATGAAGCAACAATCTCGGATCTACAACTTCTCCTTTGAACCACCACCTTGCTTTGTTCTTCACTTGTTTGGAAAATGGTTTCACAACACCATAATACCCTCTAATGGCCTCCAAAGCTCCAAGAACACTCATGGGAGGATTAGGGTTTTGTGGTGACTGTCTAAATATGAAATGGAGGTTGACCAATGAGGCACATTATTCCTTTTATGGTGGCATAGCCCTAAAATTAGGGTTTAGAAACTCTGAGCGTATGTTGGGCGTACTTCTCATACGTTGGGTGTACGCCTCCAACACCCGCGTCCACTTTAACCTATATGTTGGGTGTACCCCAATTTACGTTGGGCGTACTCACCTGGCTGCCACCTTGCATGCATGGGCTGAAATGCAAACTTTTCCATTCAGGGACCAATTTTGCCAACAACTTCGAAGTACTATAACTTCTTCGTTCTAAGTCCGTTTTCCGACGAATTGTATATCCACGAAAAGGTGGCATGAAGCCCTACGCTAGCTACATCCCAAGCCTTAAAACCTTCCGAATAAAACCCCAGACCCATAAAATACCGAATTGTCAGATTACGCTTATACCCTTGGCCCCCCAAAGACACAATCGAACACTTTCAAAACCGGGTGTTACACAAAAGGTATGTATCACCTAAATTTTTTCTTAATACTATTTCTAGATAGATTTGGGTAACAGATATTGCATACATTAACTTTTGTTTAGGGAATAATATCAACAATTGAGAAGGTATTCCCCGGTGAATAACACATGTTATTTTCTAGGCATATCCATGAAAATATGAATAAATGGTGGAAAGGAAAAGACTTAAGTGACCAACTTTGGGAGTGTGGTAGAGCAACAACAGTCAATCACTTTAACAGAGCAATGAATGAGTTGAAGAAGATCAATGAAGAGGCTCATGCTTGGGTGTGTAAGATCCCAACAAACACTTGGTCTAAATCTCACTTTAGTGGTGTGTTTGTAGAAATTTATTGATAAATGTAAATCTTTCATGTTGTGTGTTTACTATATGTGTAATTGTCTTCTCTTAATATATATCATTCGGGCAGGGAACACGCTAATTGTTTGTTGAATAACCTTTATGAGGTATTCAATTCTAAGCTAAATGGAGGTAGGGATAAACTTATTATCACTTGCTTAGAGTATATTTGAGAGTATCTCATGAAGAGGCTATGTGTGGTGCAAAAAGAAATAGATAAGTGTGAAGGACTTCTAACCCCTACTGCAACTACAATGTTTGAAAAGATTAAGACCGATGCAACTAAGTATGTGGCTAAATACAACGGGGCAGGAAAGCACCAAGTGGCAAGCGTATGGCAAGATCAGTATGTGGTAAACTTGAATGAGCAAAGTTGCAGTTGTAAGTTTTGGGAGGTTACAAGTTTCCCACGTAGACATGTTGTTTGTGCTATATGGGACAAAATTGAAAGTGGTGAAAATGCCCCACATGTTGATGAATGGGTCCATACTTGCTATAGGTTATCAACATGGAAAGCCATGTATTTCAACAAAATTGATCCATTTAATGGACGTTCAATGTGGCCTAAATGCCCATTCACTTTACTTCCACCAAAACATAAAACACAGGTTTGTATTTCAAGCAGACCAAATATATAGTATATAGGTGAACATGGAATGAATTCAATTTTAACTATAGTATATCAATATGTGTAGGTTAGGAGGCCTAAGAAGAAGAGAAGGAAGGGTGTTGATGAGCCAAACAGCCAAGCTGGTAAATTAAGCAAGAAATATATGGCAGTCACTTGTTCAAAGTGTCATAACAAAGGGCACAATTCCAAAACATGTAAAGGTCAGGGAGGCAGTGGTGAAGTTGGAGGGGGCTGAAAGCTATGTTTAGTAGTTATTAGGATGCTTGTGTTGTAGGTCTTTTGAAACTTAAGTCATGTGTACTTGTTTGAAGATGTAATGGTTGTATGTTTAGTGGTGTCATATTTATTTGTTTTGAAACTTAATATGATGGTTGTGTTAAGAAGTTTAAAATTTTGCATGTAATGGTGTGTATGCACATTTTGGTAACGAATTAATCTGTTTTGTGTACTACCCTTCAAAGATAAATTTATAACATTGTGCATTTCAGTTGCAAATCAAAACCATCTTAAAGATACATTTACAATACACTTAACAATTGCATTTCAAAAACAATCAAGAAATTCACCAATCACTATAACAAACTACATTACATTATAATTACCATTACCACTCCATTACACATTAATCTGATACATATACCAAATACAACAACACCAATTCCAAAACCCCCTACATAAACTGAAAGCAAAAAAACCCCTATTCGATTAAAATAAAAATAAACCCCCTATAACGGTTACAAACCAAAAACCAAAACTCCATTACCATCCAAACTTTCACAAGATACTTAGAGATTAAAAAAAAAAAAAAAAAAAAAAAAAAGAACACCCATGAACAAAAACAACATCAACCGATAGTTACACAATTCTGCACTCACAATAGCAACCTTCTCTTCCAATCGGTTCATTGATCTTATCAAACCTAGATTCACCACCAATGCCTTAGCACACATAGGATGATCAGACCATCGAAGGAACCCACATCTTGTACAGTTTCAAAATTGTCTTCCAGGGTTACGATTTGTTAATGAAGTGATTTTCATTACTTCATCCCACATCTGCAAGTCACCATCTTTGAATCAGAAGATATTAGATGTCGTAAAGGGTGCAACAGTCGATCAACAGTGGAAATGAGTAGAGAGATGACGATCGCAGAAAGGTAAAGGGTTTGCCCAAAAATCGTACATGCAATTTCTTTTAAAGAGAGAAGGTTACATCTAAAATGACAAAATTGCACTTGCAATATAATATTGAAAAATGAGATAACGGTGAAATGCTAACGGAGTGAGCTGGAATGACTAAATGTTAAAAGTTTTGAAACCACAGAGACGATCCGTGAGATTTTTGTAAATTAGGGACCAAACTTCAGATTTTGTGAAACC